GTTATGTAAAAGAAAAATGGAAAATCATTTTATAACGTAAGGAAGGAAGACTGAATGTGAATGCATATCTTTGAAGTAGAAACAACTGCAAGCACTGTGTTGGGATAATATAGTAAGAGAAGCGAGCAGGCCTTCCCCAGAGACGTGGACAGGCCTTCCCTGCAGGTGAGCAGGAATCAGGTCTTGGAAATGATGACTATGGTTTAGAAAGTAAAAAGAAGAGGGATCGGGGTGGGGAGGGCGAGTGTCCTCACTACGCACCCTCCTGTGTCCGATCTCTAGCTGAACGACGGGCAGTTCACTGTCATCCAGCTGGTGGGCATGTTGCGGGGCATCGCCTCGGGCATGCGCTACCTGGCTGAGATGAGCTACGTCCACCGAGACCTGGCTGCCCGCAACATCCTGGTCAACAGCAACCTTGTCTGCAAGGTCTCTGACTTTGGTCTTTCCCGCTTCCTGGAGGAGAATTCTTCTGACCCCACCTACACGAGCTCCCTGGTAAGGCTGGGAGAGGAGGGTGGAGTACTGAGATCTAAGTTCTTCCAGCCAGGAATAGACAGGGAAGTTGAAGGGTTGGGACGGCTCTTGTCCAGGTTGCTGATCCAGGAACAGACCAAGAGGTGGGCTTGGGAGCAGGACTCCTAGGTGTCTTGGGAAAGAAGAGTTGAGTTACTGGGGTGCTTGGTTCCTACAAAGAATGGGAGGGAGTGTGAACTTGGGGAGAAAGGGCAAAGGGCGGGAGCAATGTGCCTAGGTCCTGTGAGTCCGTCACCGTCTTTTCCTTCCCCTTCCCCTTCTTTAGGGAGGAAAGATCCCGATTCGATGGACGGCTCCTGAGGCCATTGCTTTTCGGAAATTCACATCAGCCAGTGACGCCTGGAGCTATGGAATCGTCATGTGGGAGGTCATGTCATTTGGGGAACGGCCTTACTGGGACATGAGTAATCAGGATGTAAGTTTTCCGTGGTCCTACCGAATTCTCTATAATCTCTCACCTGAAATAAGGGGTCCAGTGGTGAGGTCCGTGGGTGGGGAGGGTGGCAGGAAGGGTTAATTTTTTTATTGAAGACTTGGCTACAGCATGTTCAGGTCCCAGAAGGACAGCGATGGAGGAAAGTGTTGGGCATCTAATCACAGGCAGCCTCAGCCTCAGGCTGGTACAAGTCAGTCCTTCTGGGGGGCTTTGCCAGTTTCTGCTAAGTCCTCGGTCCCCTGGAGCCCTTTGGCATCTGTTTTCCCCAAATGTCCTTACCCGCTGCTGCTTCCTGCTCCCCCAGGTGATCAATGCCATCGAACAGGACTACCGGCTGCCCCCGCCCCCTGACTGCCCCACCTCTCTGCACCAGCTCATGCTTGACTGTTGGCAGAAGGACCGGAATGCCCGGCCACGCTTCCCCCAAGTGGTCAGCGCCCTCGACAAGATGATCCGGAACCCTGCCAGCCTAAAGATCGTGGCCAGGGAGAACGGCGGGTGAGAACCCCAGAGAATGGGCCCACCACCTGAGAGTGCCCCCTCTGGAAGTAGCCATCCCTCTGGTGGTATATGGGGTGGTCTCTACCCGTCTCCAAGGTTGGCCACGAGGCTGGGCTCTGCTTCCCGAGCCTGACTCAGGCCTGGTGCTCAGCACCCACCCCTCATCCCTACCTTCCAGAGCCTCGCACCCGCTCCTGGATCAGAGACAACCTCACTACTCAGCGTTTGGTTCTGTTGGGGAGTGGCTTCGAGCCATCAAGATGGGACGATACGAAGAAAGTTTTGCAGCTGCCGGATTTGGCTCCTTTGAGCTGGTTAGCCAGATCTCCACCGAGTAAGTGGTGTGGTGTAGGACCTTGGGGCGGCGGCAGGGCTGAGCATCTGGGAAGGAGTTTGGGGACCCGCATCAGGCCTACAGACTCAGCAGGGTCCTTTGGGATCACCTTTTGGTACCAGCTTTGTTTCTCAGTGGAACAATGCTAGACATTAAGCCCAGGAGAACCCCAAAAGCAGCGGTAGCTGCGGAGGCTGAGGACCCAGGAATCTTCCCCACAGCTGTGCCCACCTTTCCTGCTCAGGGCATCACCACCCTGGGCCATGTCCTCTCACAACCCACTAGTCCATATCTCTCTCTGGGCATCTCTCTACATTCCAGGCCAGCTGTCACATTAACAACGCAACGGCTCTGGATCCACTTTCTCACCCATAAAAGGAGAAGATTGGACTAGGTTTTGGAGGCGCTTTCCAGCTTTAACGTGAAATGGTTTTATGGTTCCAACGCCTCCCAAGTAGTGTTTTTTAACTTTTGGCCTCTCTCTCATACTCCTTGCTGCCTTCCGTTTTTCTCCTAGGATCGTTTCTTGTAGAAATGAAAGTTTCTAGTAGAAACAGAAGGGTTCTCGGAGGCCCTCTCCAGGGCATTAGGCTGAGCTGGTTGCCCCCTGGGCCTGGCCACTCGCCTCCCTAGATTGTTAGGCCCCCCACTTGACCCAGGTTCTTGCTTTGGGTCCCTCCCTTCCTCCTTGCTCAGGCCTTCCTTTCCCTTCTAACTCAACTTTCTCCTTTAAAGCAGCCTACACAGCAGCCCCTTTTTTGCAACCTCATTTTGTGGTCCCTTCTGTTGCCTGGGTTTTCTCCCTGCCTCTCATCCTCACGTTTTCCCCCTTTCTTAATTTCTGCTGTCGAATCCTGCCGCAGGCCCCACCTTCCTCCTTCCTGGGCCCCAGCTCAAGGGAGACTTAGCTTCCTTTACTCTTTGCTTGAGCTGGGCAGAAGGACCACGGCTTCATTCTTCCAGGAACTGCCCAGCAACTATTGACACTGGACTCCCCTCCCTGTTGGCCTTTCTGATTGGCTGGTAATCTGGAGGGAACCGTGTTTCTGTAATTTAAGAAGCACTGCTCTGGGCACCCTGTGGTCTCACCTACCTCGCCTTCCTCCCACAGGGACCTGCTCCGAATTGGAGTCACTCTGGCAGGACATCAAAAGAAAATCCTGGCCAGTGTCCAGCACATGAAGTCCCAGGCCAAGCCTGGAGCCCCAGGCGGGCCAGGAGGACCAAGCCCTCAGTACTGACTGTGCCTCTTCATGTGGCCTCGTGGCCACACAGCCTGGCATGGCGGAGGTTACGAGCCCCAGGGACAATGCCCCTGCCCCATTCTTGCTGGGGCTAAGTCGGGTGTGGACTCAAAGAGGCCCCTTCCCTGCTCCCCACTGGATTGCACTTTGAACCCAGAGGGGTGGGGAGCTGGCAGTTTGGAGAGACTGGATTTGGGGATTCTGTCTTGTGGGAGTATGAAAGTTACATGCCCTTGAGATGGGGAACCCCAGACTGTAGAGGGAGGGAGGGAGTTTTTGGTTTAGGATGGGGTGTGGCCAGAGGGGAAGCAAGAGCCCATAATCTCCCAGATACCAAGTGGTTGGCAAGATCCATGCCCACTCCCCTCTGGTCCCCAGCTAGGGCTTCTGGATGCTCCCTCACCTCGACCCTCAGACCAAAGAGAGAAGAGAGCCCAGCCTGTGGGCCCGGGAATGACATGGTGGCCAGGAGGAAGGCCCAGTGTCACGGCCCAGTGACAAAATCATTGGACTTCGCTGTTCTCATCACTGAACCCTCTTTGTAAATGTAAAATGCCCCTCCCCTATCTGCTGCCTTCATATTGAAGGTTTTGAGTTTTACATCTTGTTTTTGGTGGTCATTTCCCTTTTTTGTTTTGTTTTGTTTTTTACCGTCCTTGTCGTAACTTTTCTGTGGAGGGACCTTGTGCCACTATCTCCTCCCTAAGCCCAAATTGAAACAGGGAACCATTGTGTCTGTTTCCAGAACAGTGCCTTGGTCAGACCACAACCCCCAGACGATTCCCACCCTCCCTGTTGCCCTCAAACTGTGTCCACGGGGGAGTGGGGATGAGGTAGTGAAGAGGGCAGTGAGTGGTGGTAGAAACTGCACTTGGAGGGGCTTAAGTTATATTTTTTAATGTTTTCTTACAAATAAAAGAAAATGGGAAGTTTCCCAGCTGGGGGTGATTGGGGAGTTGGGGAAGTCGGGCTAGACTTCTGAGGTCTAAGTATGGAGGGGCTTGATAGCAGAGAGGGGTCAGCACTTTGCAGGTTTGGAGACAACAGGGCTGTGGGGGGCTGGGTGCTTGGTTCCCAGCCCCAGGGTGTGTTTGAGATGGTGGGGTGGGGGCTGTGGGAGGTGAGTCATTGGCAGCTGCTTCTAAGAGTTCCAGCTGGCTCTGCCAAGAGCCTGGGGCACCTCCGGGGTGGGGCATCCCCTTCTCTCCTCTCCCTTAGTTCCTTAGCCCTGGCAGGGGACTGTATGAGGAAGGGGAGGTCTCGAGCTCCTGAGTCTATCCTGCAGACCCCTGAGAGGTGGGGGGAGGGGGGAGGCTGAGGTAGGGGGCTCATGTAGGCACGTATTACCTATGTTTCTGAGGTAGTGGTCTAGACTGCTAGGGAGGAGCAGAGCTGGGAGTGAGGACGGTGGACCCCCACATGCATGAGGACACAGTCTGGGAGGACAATTCCCTCCTTCATGGTGCTGCCCAGGCAGGTCTCCCAGCCTCTTGGGAAGGGGCGGGGAAGGTACCTGAATGTTTCCCCCCCCACACACTTGTCCCTCCCAAACATGGAGATGAGGATGGGTCAATCCCACGTGCAAACTGCCATTTTCAGTCTCAGCACCTGGGTGTCCTTGGTTCCTGGGCTCTGCGGCCCCTCTGTGATGGGGGACTGCAGATGCAGGCTTTGAAGGGGGCCGGCTTGCTTTACCTCAAACCACCTCTTACAGTTCGTTCTGTAGCTCAGTTGTCCGCTGTTGTGTTGGGGTCCATGCAGGCCCCCAAACCACAGCCCAGGGAGCCTCACTGCCTGGTGGCTGATTGTCAATATCTACAACTTTCTTCTGGGGCCCTTAATGCTCGAGAGTCCTGTCCCCTTCTTTTCTTGGTGACAGCCATATTTTGAGAGGGAGTGGGGTGGAAGGTGCTCTGAACTGAAAGCCTCTTTCAGTTAGGTTGGGGCTCTAGAAGGTGACCTTCAGAGAGCTAGTGAAGAGAGGAATTAGGACAGAGGCTAAGGATCCAAGATGAGATCCAGGGTGAGATGAACGCTTCCCCAGCCCAGTTCCAGAAACTACCCTGAGACTTCCTGCCATCCCCCAGCCAAGGGAAAGTCTAGCTGGGCAGGGTGGCCCTTCCGTGAGGCCTTTTCACCAGCTAGTTTGGGTCAAAAGGGCCCACAGCCTAAGAGCCCAGTACCCTGTCTGCTTTGTTCCTGGAGTCAGTTTGAACTCATAGTGACCCTGTCTAAGGTCTTTCCACCTGGTGAGCTTGAACCTCCAACCTTGCAGTTTAAACAGACCTTACAGTCCAGCACATTAATCCACAGCACCACACCAGGCCTCTTGTCTGCTTGTATTTTTCCCCAAACCCAAGTCCACAGTCTTCCTTAAGAGTTAATGCAGGAAGATTCAGCCTCCCCCAGGCAAGGACCTGCCTGGTTCAAGGCATCAGGTACTGGGAGGGGTGGGAAGGTTGGAACTTGGGGTTAGTGTGTTGGTCCTACCAGGATGGGGCTCCAAACCCCCCACTAGGCCTCTCGCCAGACACCATTCTCAGTTATTGGCCCTTTTAGGAAATGACAAGGGCCACAGGGCAGTTCACCTTTTGGAAAATGCCACTTTCTCAGCCTTTAGTCAGAATCTGCCACTGGTGGTAGACTTGGCTGCATGACCCACCTGGAGACCACCGAGGTTCCAGGACTGTCCCTCCCCGATGCCCCTCACCTGCCCACACCTAGATACCTCTCATTCTAGCTGTTTTACACAAAATCTAGCCCTGGCCCCCATACCTGTCTTATATCCCATCCTAACCCACCTCACAGACCCAACACACTCTTCCATAAATCATGTGGAAATTCACCATCTCAAAAATACGTAATTTTATTTTATCTCTTCTTTTTTGAGGACAGCTCAAAATTAAGCAACTTCGAAGGGTCTTTCCGGAACAAAATGTGAGGCTAAAATGAAAAAATATTAGAGCCCCACTCTGCTCCTGGTCAGAATTGAACACTCCCTCAGCCCACCCTGTTTGGGATGGCCAACGTTTGGGACTGTGGGGTTAGTTCTCACCTGGGTCTGTCAGCCTGTCTAGGTTTGGGCTCATTTTCTCCCTAAGAGACATTGGGGAACTGGTAGAGGCTTGATGGGGTCAGCTTCTTCATGCCTTAGGCCACAGCCCACTCCCTCTGTGTATTCCCCTTGGCTCACCCTGCCTCAGCCCCTCTCCTGAACTCACCTCCTCGTCTTCCTGTGAAGGTACTTTCTGGTCACTGCTAGCATGATGAATGCCATGGGCACCAACGTCCCCAATAGCACGGCCACAAGGTTGGACACTTCTGGGGTTCAGGATCAGAAATAGGGTTTGGAATAGGGAGGAGACACACCCTTTTAGCTTTCTGATGTCACCTTAAATCTCTGGGTGTGGCTGGTTCTCCTAAGAGGCTTTGCAGGCAGGGGCGGGAGGGGGCTCCAAGACCTTAGCCACCCCTTCAAGAACCCTGTTTCGGACACATTCCCACAAGCCTTTGAGGGGGCTGCTCCTTCAGTTAGTCCTCTGGAGACCAGGCTAAACTACCTGCGCAGTGCGTGTCCCTCAAAAGGTAACCCTACAACCAACCCAGGGACCTTGCTGGAATGCAGAGTCGGGTCCCACTCCAGACCTATTAGGTCAGAATCTCAGGCTGAGTCCTGGAACGTTTCAACAAGCCACCCCTCCCTGCCCAGTCGTATACAAGATAAAAAGTCCAGAGGCTCAAAGAAATTCTGGTTTCGGATAGGGAAAAAACATGAAAAGGGTAAAAGGGGGCTTCTAAAAGTTCCTGGAGAAATGGAACTGAAGGGTAATTTTTGGAACTTTTTGAAGCCTCTGTGTATTAGAGAGGCATGGAGGGGTGCAGCCTGGGAAATGGCAGCAGGGGAGAGATCTTTAGGTCACCGATGTGGAGCCAGGGTTCAGAGAGAGGATTCCTGAGCATATGGGTAGGAGATGGGCACGAGGACTCTGAGAAGGCTTGTCCATCTTAGGGACAGTAATATTATCAACACCTAGCCTAGAGTTCGCTGGAAACTTCCAGGATACAGGGCCTGGGATGAAGAGCTCACCTAGTTTTTCAGGGGGTGGAACATCCTTAGGCTCAGTGCAGAGGGCCCCCCCATAACCAAGTTCACAGTCACAGGTGAAATTCATGCCCTGCTCCTGACACACACCATCATTCTGACAGGGGTTCTGCAGACATGGGCTTTCTGTAAGGAAGGAGTGGGGTTGTGACAAAGGTGCTGAGGGAAACTCTCCAGCTCTCCAACCCCCTGCCACCACAAAGGACAGAGCAGAACTGCTCCTTAGAGGTCCCGACACTCTTAAACCTCATCGTTCTACCAAAGAGCTGCTGGTGGGTTTGAACCGCCGATCTTGTGGTTAGCAGCACAGTACAAACTCCACAGTGCCACCAAGTCTCCGTCAGAACACTCTTAGTCTGAGTGGAGGCTGAGATCCAGGAAAGGATGGAGCAATGAGTGTGGCTAGGAATAACTGACCAGGGACTGACTGGCCTGACTGCCGATCCACACCTGCCACCCCTGGGTTCTGAGGAAATTCCTGAAACTCTTTATAAATGGGGATGATCTGCCTACTAGCAAGTGCTGAAGTAAGTCTTGGAGGGGATTATGGGAACTAATGATAGGACGTGGCGCCGTGGGATAAGCCCTGGACCACAAGGTCAGTCTGAACCGCACGACTGGCAGTTCAAACCCACCAGCCGCTCCTTGAAAATCCTATACAGAATTGCTATGAGTCGGAAGTGACTCGAAAGCACGTAACAAACAACAAATGATAGACTGGACCGGGATCGGGCAGTGTTTTACTATGAGATACGTAGGGTCGCTGAGTCGGAAAGGGCTGGAGGGCACCTGATAACAAGCTCCATCCAGCGCAGTACTGAGCTGCTGAGGGAATGGGAGGGCCTTTTCCTTTGCTCCTCCCCCAAAAGGAAGGGACCAAGTAAGAAAGAGGGGCATTAAACTGCACCATCTTTCTGACGTCGGCGTGGAAAAGTCCAGGCTTGGGACAGGCAGGAACACTGCCTGGTGTGGGGGCAGCCTGCACCGCAGGAGGGGAGGGCCAGGCTTACCTCGGAAGCAACCCCGGGTGAGGTTCGCTAGAGTGCAGATCTCCCCATCGCCGCAGCCGAGAGGGTCACAGAGCACGACCCCGGAGCTGGCACATGTGCAGAGCTGGGAACAGTCCTTGCTCACAAAGCTTTCACCCCACTGGAAGAGGGGGAAGGGTTTCATCCCCAGTCCAGCTCTACTTTTCCATCTCTGCACGCCCCCAGCCCTCCTGCACCCAGTCCAACCTGGTGATAGACCCCATCTTGGAGGCAGCCACAGCTGGCCTGGGGAAGGCTCTGAGCACCGCTGTAGATGTAGCCCGGGAGGCTGGCGCATCCTTCCACACAGGCGCCCTCACAGTCCTGGGGGGCCGCCGGGTTGGCACAGGAGGCCGGGCAGGGGGTCATGCAGCTCTGATACACAGTATTGGCTGGACACACCAAGGCTAAAGACGGAGTCACAAAAGGTGGTCAGGGAGGGCTGGCCAACAGATGTGGGCAATATAGGGACAAGAGCTGGAAGAGGAAAAGTGGCCGGCTTCCTGTGTCTTTCTGTTCAGGGACTTCAAAATCTGTGACAGAACCAAGCAGGTCAGCAAAGATGGGCTTGAAGAGAAGAAGAAGGAGATGCAGCCACGGTGGGTGTGAGGCTTCTCAGGTGGACATTTAGGGGAGAGGGAATCCCGGGTAGTGTGGCAATCACAATGGAAGGATGTCCTGACTTTAAAATGGGGAGCTTGGGGCTGGGCAGTAGAGGGGAGAAATGGTAGATGGGTCAGTGCCTCACCACAGCCAGTGTGGTTGCGCCAGTCAGCCAAGGGAGCGCCTGCCTCCTGGCAGATGAGCGCGTAGCCGCTGAACATCTGACAGCGCAGTTCCTCCCACTCCTTGGGGTCCTGGGCAGCACACAAACCAAAGACGCAGTGCCTGGGGGCGGGGACAGTGAAGGTGTCAGAGAGGGGAAGGCCAAGCGACAGCCCAACAGAAGAGAACCTGACAAGGCCAAGCAGCAGGAAACCAGGAAATGAGGCCACAGACCAAGAAAAGTGACCAGAATCAAGAGCAGGTCAGAGCAGACAGCAGGACCCACTGAGAGGACCACTCACTCTTGGAAGGGATCTGGGGCCACCATTTGGTGACAGGCAGCAAAGAGCCCCTGGGGATCCACCAGCACCCTACAGGCCTGGGTGCTGCTGATGAATGCCAGCTTCTCAGGGCTGCATTCTGATGCCTGGAAATCTGACTCCTCTGCTTCCTCTTCCTCATCCTGAATGGCCCTGGAGACAGTATGGGGCCAGGTGAGGTCAGAGAAGAACTGAACTCAGGGAAGACCAGTAACCAGGGACTGAGGTGAAGGGAAAGGCACGAGGTTTCCATGGAGCAGGTTTTGTAGTCAGAATTTGAGAAATGGGGGCAAGTCTGTCTGGGATCCCAATTTTGTTTTGCTTCCCTGGAAATTTCGTCAAAGCCATGAGGGTAAGAAGTATGGGTCAGACACTGACTGGGCCCTTGGTCAACTCCCTAAGCTCTGTGCCCACCAGGGCCTTGCCTCACCTTGGAACGCGGGCCAGAGCTTCCTGGACTCTCTTCACCTCCCAACTGTTGCCAAAAGCATTGATGCTGTAAGTTAAGTCACCGCTGGGCAGCATCAAGTCATTGCTTTGGTTCCTGTCGAAGTTTCCACACAGGCCGCGTACGAGGCCCAGGTACATGCTAGGCATGGAGATCACTGAGGAGACGAAGAGCCCCGTCCATGCTCCACAGTGTCTCCCTTTCCCACTCCTTCCCCGCTCTTCCCTGGCAGAGGTGGTTTCCCTTCTCCCACACTCAGCTACCTGCATTTTTTTTCCCATCGAAGCTGATGGTCAGCCCAAAGTCAGTGGTCAGATACAGGCGGTGGGACCGAAGAAAGACCTGCAGGTTCTCGCTGGGCTTGTAGGGAATGTGGACCTTCTCCTTGTTGACCTGGAGGAGGGAGATCATCAATACAGAGGGCCCTTCCGTACCACACCCCGAACCCTGTCCCCCACCCCAGTGTGCTCCAGCTTGGTTCTTGCAAAAACCTGACACCATGGGTTTTGCAGGGACTGTTCTCCTCTCTTCCCCAGCCTCTTTTTGCTTAATCCCCTAGTCCTCCTTTGCCTCTTCCCACAAAGTAAGCTTGGCATTGATTCTGACTTCTGCACTCAGGCTATTCCTGCCAGGACATTTCCAGGGAACAAACAATCCTGGCTTACTCTGCTCCAGGCACCTCAAGACTCCAAACTCCCTTCCAAGACCCTCCAGAGCTGGCCCGGCTCTTACCACAAGCTCCAGACCAGGCCGGAGCTGGATTCTAGAGTCATAGATTGTCACGAAGATTTCATGCAAGAAGATCGGGCCCCAAGGCAGGTACATCTTGTGGCGACCCTCCACAACCAGGGGCTCGACACCATCCGGGAGCACATCGATGGTCTTGATGAGAGTGTACGTCATACGGCCCTGGAAGTGGTAGCTGAGACCATCCAGTGTGCGGTAATGGGGGTCCCCAAAGATTGAGCAGTAATCCAACCCTGATGAGAAGTACAAACACTGAGAAGAGACCCCACCCAGAGAGAGCAGCCCCAGAATCCCCACACGAAGCCTGTCTCCTGTCACCCAGCCTGGGTTCCCTGGGTACTTGTTCTTTAACCTCCACCTTTCCCAGTCCACTTAACAAGTCTAGAGGTCCTCCTTGTCCCGTCCCTTCTCTCAGCCCAGAGACGGTCGGTGCACATGGTCACAGAGTTGATGAGAGTCAGAATGAGAAGCCAGAGGTCTCCCAACTCACTCACTAAATCCTGATGCCCAGATCTCTTTATAGCTTCTCCAGACTAAGCCCCTTCGTCCCTGCCTCTTACCCCATTTTCTCCCCTCCCCTTACAGTCGGGTACACAGTTGCTGTTGCCCTTGGCGTTGAGCTGGCAGTGGGAACCTGAGGGGCAGTTGAAGGCCCGACACTGGACGACTCCTTCTGTACAGACACAGTTCTGGCTGCAGCCAGTGGATAGCCAGGTCTTACCTGCCTGCAGAAATCACGGAAAGAGCAAGGGGGTGAGGAATGAAGAGCTAGTTCTATCTCCTACTCCCTGTCAGCCTAAGCCAGGTACCGCGGACATTGGGCCCTTAAAATCCTGTATCCCCTTACGAGGTATGGGCTTACCTTTGTAGTTCAGGATGTACTACTGGACCCAGTTTAAAGATGAGACAAGTGAAGTAACAGAGGTCACATGACTGGTCAGTAGTACAATCAGGATTATAATCCCAGGTCAGCCTGTACCAAAGCTGTGCTCCCTCCACTAGACCGGGCTGTTTCCCAGTTGGTGGGTTCCTCAGATCCCAAACCCCCAGCCCAGGCCCTACTGGAGATCACCCCACCCTTCTCAGCCTCCACACTGTGGGTCAGAGCAGACATGGATGTCCCAGGCAGAGAGGCTGACGAATGAGGAAGCTGTGTCCTCAAGGTAGGCCCGCATTTCCCATGCTCACTCACGGGAAGGACTCGGCCCTCGGTATCCTTGCAGCTACACTGACTCCTGAGCACACACCGATCCACATTGAGCACGTAGCCAGGGTTACAGACACAGCCCTCGAAGCAGGTGGAGAGGAGTTTGGTACCCTCACATCGGCCCTCGGGGTCCCCGCAGGAAGGTGGGCACGGGGGAGCACAGTTTGTGTAGCTGCTATAGGCAGGACATTCCAGAGCTGTGAGGTAGAAGACAGAGTGGAGTCAGGGGGCCAGGGGCTTTGAGGCAGGGAACAGGGGGTATATAAGGGTTTTCCCTTCGGGGCTGTGAGACTTGGAGCAACTTTTTCGGCCCTGGAAGTGGTAGCTGACACTGTGAAACATGAAGCAATGGAGGCAACAAATTTGGGGTTCACTCTTCCTTTCCTTACTCATCAAACAAACATTTGCTGAGGGAAGAAATGAATAACAATGTCCCTCCAAACTCTACGTGAGAGATGAAAGTCAGTCAACAACACAGCCTTGAGGTGTGTAGTCAGTAAGTGGGGTGACAGGTGCATGTGGACCTGGTATAATGGGTCACAGAGAAGGGAAACTCTGGGGAGTTAAAGAAAGACCTTCAAGCAAAATTAATCATGGACAAATGGCAATGCCCACCATGTTCATGGATAGGAAGTAAACAACTTAAAGATGTCAGTTCCTCCTAAGTTACTGTATGCACTTAATGTTGTTGTTGTTGTTATGTGCTGTGGAGTCGGTTCTGACCCACAGCGACCCTACACAGGGTTTCCGAGGCTATAAATCTTTACGGGAGCAGACCGCCTCATCTTTCTCCCATGGAACAGCTGGTAGTTTCGAACTGCTGGCCCTGAGGTTCGCAGCCCGATTTGTAACCACTACGCTACCAGAGCTCATATATATATATATATATGTTGTTGTTAGGTACCATTGAGTCGGTACCGACTCACAGCGACCTTATGTATATATATATATATATATATAGAGCTCTGGTAGTGTAGTGGTTACGAATCGGGCTGCAAACCTTAAAGGTCAGCAGTTCGAAACTACCAGCTGCTCCGCGGGGGAAAGATGAGGCTTTCTGTTTCTGTAAAGATTTACAGCCTTGGAAACCCTGTACAGGGTCGCTATGAGTCAGAACCAACTCCACAGCACACAACAACAACAACAAATATATATATATATACATGACTTTAAAGTTGAAGTGAAAAAACTAGAAAAGGCAAGGAAAATCTAAAAATTAAGAGTTTGTTGTTGTTGTTGTTGAGTGCTGTCGAGTCAGTTCTGACTCAGAGTGATTCAGGGTTTCCAAGGAGCAGATGGTAAATCTGAACAGCCAACCTTATGGCTAGTAGTCCAGTGTTTATGCTTTGGTGTCACACCACAACTCCAAAATATTAAGAGCAGTGAGCAGTAAATATCTCCATCAGAAATTAAAACACATTTGAAATTTTCAACAACACAACATTATGTTCCTGTAAGACAAAGAGGCAGACGGTCTGATGGAACAGAAGGGAAAGCCCAGATATGAAACACCACATAGGTATTTGTTTTTAAATGCTGTCAAGTTAATTCCAACTCATTATGACCCTATGTACAAAAGAGCGAGACTCCACCCAGTCCTGCGCCATCCTCACAATTGTTGTATTTGAGCTCACTGTTGCAGTCACTGAGGGTCTTCTTTTTCACTGACCTTCAACTTTACCAACCACTATGTTCTTCTCCAGAGACTGGTCCCTCCCGATCAAATGTCCAAAGTACATGAGACAAAGTGTTACCATCGAGGCTCCTAAGGAATATTCTGGTTGTACTGCGTTCATTCTTCCGGCAGACCATGGTGTAGTCAATATTCTCTGCCAGCATCGTAATTCAAAGGCATCCGTTCTTTGCTCTTCCTTATTCATTGTCCAGCTTTCACATGCATATGAAGCAACTAGAAATATCATGACTTGGGTCAGACACAGCTTAGTCCTCAAACTAACACCTTTGTTTTTAACATTTGGAAGAGGGCTTTTACAGCGGGTCTGTCCAATGCAATACACTGTTGAATTTCTTCCATGGATGTTGGTTGTGGATCCAAGTAAAATGAAATCCTTTCCAACTTCAATATTTTCTTCGTTAATCATGGCTTATTAGCCCAGTTGTGAGGATTTCTGTTTGGTTTATGTTAAGGTGTAATCCATCCTGATCTTCATCAGTTAAGTTCTTAACAGCCTCTTCACTTTCAGCAAGGAAGGCTGTATCATCTGCATGGTGTCGGAGTTGTTAATGAGTCTTCTTCCAGTCCTCACGTCATGTTCTTCATATGGTGCAATTTCTTGGATTACTTGCTCAGCGTACAGATTGAATAAGTATTGTGAAAACATACAACCCTGGAACACACATTTCCTGATTTTAAACTATATTCATGGTTGGTGCCTCAAATTTTGCATTTGATATCAGAAGTGGGTTTGTTGTAATGACTCCGGACACATGAAACCATGGGGTTTTGTAAGAGAAAAAGTGAAAGGACATGGGAAATGAAACTTCTGATTCTTAAATGGTTACTTTGTTTATTGTTAACTGTGATGGTTGAAAGGAGTCCTGATGTGGTGCTCTAGGATAAGCACTGGACTATTGACCACAAAGTCAGCAGTTCAAACCCACCAGCCCCTTCTTGGAAACCCCATACAGGGTCGCTACGAGTCGTAACTGGACTCCATGGCACTTAACAACAACAATGATGGTTGAAAGGCACCTGAGAGATGTTGTGGCGCAGGTGAGGGGAGAAAAGCGGCTACTGGAATCACGTGGGCAAAAGTCGCTTGGATGTCATGATTACAGAGAGCTTGTAAGCTCACCTTCAGCCTATCTTAATTGGATACAATCAAAGGGGTGTTCGGAATTTCCCAGAAGGATCAGGCTTTATTTTAAGCCAGCAGCCTGTGTCTAGAATAAGGGGCTGAGATGGAAAACTGAGCCCCACCCAGAACTATTGGGAGAACAAATTTATTAAACATAAAACAAAAATCTGCAGAAAGGAAAATGACTGGCATTTTGAATTTCAAGCAAGCAGGTTGTTGTTGGATGCATCAAGGCAGGAAATGTCTGTACCCACCAGAGAAAATCCCATTCTAGGACTGACTGTTAAAGGAACGCAGCAAGCAGATGCTCTCTGGTAACCAACTGGGTACAATTGATGAGTAGAAGTTGGGGACAATGCAGCAATGAAGAAATGAATTGAGAGAGGAGGAAAAGCTGGTTGGTTTGAAGTTTAGGGAGTTGTGTGTACTCTTGAGCTTACAGACACTTGACCAAGCCTATAGGGGGCTAGGGCTGAGAGAGAGACTGAGTGAAGGGGCCAGCTGGTCTGCTGTGCAGGGAAGGGTATGTAGACTCCCACGCTTGCAGCTGGTACCCATTTGACCTAACACGACTGAATTGATCAGAACCAAATGAGTTCATATAAATTGCTTCCACTTTGATGGTTTGTTGTGGACTGGACTTAGCTTATGATTGTGGATGCTGAAAGTTCCAACAATATCAGAACCTTGTCTCCTCAGAGGACTGGGTTGATAGGAACAAGCAATTTAGAAATTGGCTATAAAAAATGGGGGATGATAAAGGCAAGAAGTAGCTGGCTTATAAACTTCCATGTGTGTGCACAAATGATATGGGAAAAGTTCACTCATGATACATGAAAGGGACAGTGGCTAGAAGAGCCAGAGGGTGGCCTGTGGCTTGTCTACGGTGGCCTGTCATGAATTGTCTACTATTTCTTTTAGCCATAGTCTGTAACTCCCCTAAACCCCATTTCTGCCCTGCTGAGAAGATACTGATAGGATGACATGATTCAGCTGTGGAGGTCAGCAGAGTTCATTGTCATTGTAAACACTGGAAACTCTAGCTTGGGTTTAAAATGAACCTTCTCTTCCGAGGGGGGCACTTAATACCATCAAAGAAGAAGAGCCAAGAGTAGAACTCATCCTTTGGACCTTGAGATCCCTACGCCTCACCCCAGGCACAGAAGAGCTATGGCACTGGAGGTAGAGTCATTTCCAAGTCATAGTTAACCTATGCACAATAGAACAAAACCCTGCCCAGTCCGCGCCATCCTCACAACTGTTGTTATGTTTGAGTCTGTTGTTGCTGCCACTGTATCACTCTCTTGCTGGTCTCCTCTTTTTCACTAATCCAAGACCCTGAGCATGACACAGAGCAGTGGGCTTCCCAGCCCACAGAGCAAGTAAAGCTGAGTGACTTTGGGCAGGAAGCTTTTTTATAGAGTGCGGTGCCTCCAGTCATGTAAGTAGGGGGGTTAGGTTTGCTGACCCATGGAGATAGAGCCAAGTGTCTTCAGGCTGAGGCTCATAGTGCCAAGACAGCGGCCTCCGGGCATGAGGTTGAGTTGTAGGTGGAAGACAAGGGGGTGAAGTCCTCCCTTCTTCTCTTGTGTCATGGTAGCTGGGGCGTGGCTGGTCCCACCATCACCAACACAGTGGCCAATGGCAACCCCTCCTTTGCAGCCTCTGTCTGCGGGCCTGCCCTGCAGAGATGCGTGAACCTGCCCTGAATTACACTATACAAACTGTTAACCAAGAACTGTGTTCAGACTTCCTTCTCACCAACATGCAGTCATCAATTAAATAGAAGTACACCTGCGATGCCTCAGAGAAAACAAACAATTTCAGCTTACACAAAGAAACAAAACAGAGTGCCTCGAACAAGGGACCAAAAGACAGAGTCTGAAAATAAAATACCAGAAATGGAATCAGAACTACTTAATAAGGAATTTAAAAGAATGCTATTTTGGTGTCTTCAATGAATTGAGAAAGCAAGAAAGAATTCAGGAAAATAATTCAAGAACAAACTGACAAAATAAATGAAAAAAATTGGAAACCATACAAAAGCAGCAATTAGAAAGCCAGAAGATTAATACTTACACTGTAGAAATAGATAATACATTGAAAAGGCAAAGGGAAATCAAATCATTGGAAAGCCGAATCTGTGATCTTGAAGACAAATCACTCGATACTCATCTTTGAAAGGAACAATCAGAAAAAAAGAATTTAAAAATCCAAAGACAGCCTAAGATTTATGTAGGACACTATAAAGAGGAATAACTTGCATGTGATTCAAATCTCAGAATAGGAAGAAACAAATAAAACCATAGAGAAACTTGTCTACGGAGTTACAGGAAGAAAATGTTCCTAACATAAAAGATGAGAAGATAGCCATTCAAGAAGTTAAATGAACTCCAAGCAGGATAGATTCCAAAAGAAAATTGCCAAGACATATTATAATAAAACTTTTCAAAGGCAAAGACAAGTTAAAAATCCTGAGAGCAGCTCAGGAAATAAGAAAAGTAACCTACGAAGGATAATTCCTAAGACCAAGCTCTGACTTCTCAGCAGAAACCATGCAGGTAAGAAGACACTGTGATGACATACATAAAACTCGGAAAGAAAAAACTGTCAGCCAAGAATCATACCCATATGTAAATCAACTGTCTAGGGATATTAGTCTCGCTCATACGATCCAAGAGTAAATAGATAAAGGTTTACAAAACAGACTAAATGCTTTAGAGAAAGGAAGATCGCTTAAGGGAAATAAGACCTGATATATCCAGATTGCACTCCCAGCTAAGGTTATTCACCATATAAGTAGATTTGTGTTATCTTTCAGTAATCCAGAACTTGATTGGAACTTAATCCAACAGCATTTTAGGAGGTTGTCTGTGGATATTCATCAGCTACATGCTCAAATTTCTGATATGAGTAATTCTCAAAGTGAGCACTGAGTGGCTCCTAATTTGCTAACCCTGCTAGAGAGTAAGATCCTCTAAGAACTTGATTGAACCTCAGCATAGTGATCCTGCTTGGTCACCTTAGAGCAGGTGGTGGGCTGGCAACGTCTTGCGTATGGGGTCCCCAGCCGATCTCCTCCCTCCCTGCCTTCCTCGGATGGCGGCTCTTTATGCTGGACATGTGGCCAGAGACGGGTAAGAATCACGTGGAACCTCGGCAACCTAAGACAGAGCCATTGGCCATGCTGCAATGAGTTTCAATGCTGGGTAAGACTGAGGAATTCGCACTGACTGCCTAAGACAGGCAGTGTCCCTTAAACAAACAATAAATAAGGGGAAATCTGATTCAGACAGTGCAGACCTGGTCAGGAGGTCAAGACCCTGTGGGCCCAAGCGTTGTTGGCCATCCAAACCATAGGCTCTGAGGATCAGACTTTAGCCACCTAGTAGACATAGCAAACTCTCCCTCATCTGATTATTCAGTAATGCTTGTTAGTAATCTCATACATGAGCCCTGGATATCCACAGACAAATGTAAAAACCTTCCCTAAAAGCCGAGACTGTAAATTCCAAAAAGGCAAGTTCCTCCCCACTCCAACCCCCCCCCCCAAAAAAAAAGCTAAAGAGGATAGAGAGAAACACTGTAAACTGATGATATATGGAGGGGATAATAATCAATGTAATGAAACAAGCTATATGAATGGTTGAATGTGAAGCTGATGATGTGCCCTGTAAACTTTCACTCAATCCAAAATAAAAACATTTAATAAAAAAATAAAAAAAGAATCATACCCAGCTAAAGTGTCGATCAAATATGAGGGTGAAAGTAGGACATGTCCAGATAAACAGAATTAAAAGAATTTTCCAAAAACAGAACAGCCATACAAAAAATATTACAGGGAGTTCTTTGGACAGATAACCAACAATAGCAGACAACATGAGACTAACAAATATCACCCAAAACTCAATCCAGATTTAGAAGTATTCAAAGTAAAACAAACTTAGAAGACTGAAATAGGGAACCAGAGATACCAGTTTGCAACAACAATAATAAAACATACAGTCAAACAAGCGAATAATGTTGACAGGGAAATCAAATAGATTTCAAGAAAAATTTTTTTAATTTAAATAGATATAATTATAATCTTAAAACTAGACCAAGCCTTTCTCCTAGCCTTAGCCCAGTCCCTACCCCTAACATTAACCCTTGTCCTAACCCTAAACCTAACCTTCTAAAGTCCCAGGCCTTGCATAGACCTAGCATCCTTACTCCTACCCACCACCATAACTCCTCACTCCTACCCACCTCCCCCGCAAAATTCAATGAGCTCTCAAGCAACAGAAAGTCACAGCAGACCCTTAAATGCATATCGCTAAGTAAAGAAACCAGTTTGGAAAGGATTGTTGTTGTTGTTATTGTTAGGTGCCATTGAGTCATTTCCAAGTTAACCTACGCACAATAGAACAAAACACTGCCCAATCTGCACCATGCTCACAATTGTTGTTATGTTTGAGCCTGTTGTCACTGCCACTGTATCAAAACAGTGCTGGCCTTCCTCTTGTTCACTAATCCTCCTTTTCTCCAAGCATGATGTCCTTTCCCAGGGACTAGTGCCTCCTGATAATATGTCTAAAGTACAAGAGATGATGTCTCGCCATCCTGGCTTCTAAGGAGAAGTCTGACTGTACTTCTTCCAAGATACATTTGTTTGTTCTTCTAGCAGTCCATGGTACTTTCAATATTCTTTGCCAACACCATAATTCAAATGCACCGAGTCTTCTATGTTCTTCCTTATTCATTGTCCAACTTTCAGATGCATATGAAACTATTGAAAATACCATGTCTTGGGTCTGGTGCACCATAGTCTTCAAACTGACCTCTTGGCTCTGGACACTTTTAAGGAGCAGATTTGCCTAATGCAATATGTTGTTTGATTTCTTAACTGCTGCTTCCATGAGTGTTGATGGTGGACCCAAGCAAATTGAAGTCTTTGACAACTTCAATCTTTTCTCCATTTATCTCCATGTCATTTACTGGTTCCGTTGTGAGGATTTTTGTTTTCTTGACAGTGAGATGCAATCCATACTGAAGGCTGTAGTCTTTAATCTTCACCCATAAATATTATAAATCCTCTTTGCTTTCAACAAGCAAGTTGTTTTCTGCATATTGCTGGTTGTTAATGAGTCTTCCTCCAATCCTTATTCCACATTCTTCTTCATATAATCCAGCGTCTCAGATTATTCGCTCAGCATACAGATTGAATAAGTATGGAGAAAGGATACAACTCTGACACACATCTTTCCTGCTTTTAAACTATTCAGTTTCCCCTTGTTCTGCTCAAACGACTGCCTCTTGGTCTGTGTGTACAGGTTCCTGGAAAGGCTATATATTGTATCATTCCAGCTATGTGACATCTGGAAAAGGTAAAACTATAGAGAGAGTGAAAAGACCAGTGTTTGCCCGGAACAACAGGATGGTTAGGAGGAGCATTTTTAGAATAGTGGAAGTATTCTGAGTGATCCTATAGTGGTAGATTGTTGTTGTTAAGTACCGTGGAGTCGGTTCCGACTCACAGCGACCCTGTACAGGGTTTCCGAGGCTGTAAATCTTTACGGGAGCAGAAAGCCTCATCTTTCTCCCGCGGAACAGCTGGTAGTTTCGAACTGCTGACCTTGTGGTACACAGCCCGATTCAAAACCACTACGCTACCAGAGCTCCTTATAGTGGTAGATATATGGCATATATTTGTCACAGCCCAGAGAGTGATACAATACAAAGAGTGAACCCAGCAATAAATGATCAATTTCAGTTAATGCATCAATACTGGGTCATCAGTGATAACAAGTGTACCACACTAATGATGAATGTTAATAATAGAGAAAACCAGGGCAGAGAAATAGGAGATATAGGGATTCTTCATCTTCTGAGCAATTTTCCTATAAATCTAAACTGCTCTAGAAATTATAAAATGCAAAAGACTGTATCTAGTATGCTACCATTTATAAGAAAAAAGGATAAAAGTTTTAAATATCGATTTGTATGTGACAAGACCACTGGAGGAATACTCAGAGGCTGATAAGAATGGATAGTTTGGCAAGCTGGGAAGTGGCCAGATTGCCGTCAGGGTTAGGGAAGGGGTTTTCACAGTGAATGTAACCTTAATACCTTTTAAGGTTTTGAACCATGTGAATGTATTCCATACTAAAAACAAATTTATTAATTAGTTAAAAATTTTTAAAGATTAATAAAATTAGACGGTGGTGATAGTGCACAACCATACAGATATACCAGGGGGCTTCAAAAAGTTTATGGAAAATAAAACGAAAAGATCATGGAACTTAATAGAATTAAAATATAATGTATCATTTATGAAATTCTTCAAGCCCCTTGGAACTGAAAAACAACAACAAATTATCCCTGAGTTGTATACTTTCAAAAAGGCAAATATATTGGTATGTGAATTATAGCTCAAAAATTATTTTTACTAAGGAAAGAGATTCAGAAGGTGGTCTAAGGGTCTGCCTGGAGGGAAGAAGACAAAAGAACCTTCCAGGCATAGGAAGCAATGTGGATAAAGGCAGGGAGGTACGGGTAGGCCGTGGGGATGTTGGGTGCTGGTATGAACGTGAACTTCTGCTTGGACTCAAGCTTGCAGGTCAAGCATGGAGACAATCAAGTCATATGTCCTTGGGAAGGACAACAGCGCAGGCCAAGGAATCAATGAATCACACCATGGGGCAGTCCCGGAGGCAGGGCACAGGTGAAGAGGGGATCGTAAAGAGACCACAGTGAGGGACATATCAGGGCCAGAGGTAGGTCAGGAGCAACTGGAAAGGGGCCTAGGAGACGCACAGGAAGAGAGAGGATGTGGAGAAGTTCTGAGGTAACCACAGGAACATATTCGAGGTGATACTCACGACAGAAGCTATTGTTTCTCCAAAACGGGGGCCTGAGCCCCTGGGCCTGGCAGGCAACTCCAAAGGCTTGCAGAGCATCACAGATGGCTTGGTTTTCGCCTCTAAACTCACAGAGGTTGTACACACAACCGATCAGGAAGGGTTTGGGGATCACTTGGGTGGCACATTCAGACCAGCCAGAACCCTGGAAGGCTGCTTGGCATTGTAGCTGAGCTCTGACTAAATCATCTGATTTGCAGTTTATATTTGGGTTTTCTCGGTGTTCCAGCCGAATCTCTCGGTCATCCCGTTGGCAACTGAGAAGGGAAACGGTTAGCACAGGGACAGCCACCACCCCACCTATGAAAACAATTTGGGTCAAATACCCTGGGAGAACTACCAGACACTCCCAGCCCTGTTTCTCTTCACTGGGAAGCCTGTCTCTGCTCTGGCCAACCTCCCATTGTAGCTTCCACTTCCTCCCATGTTTCTAAGCAAAGAAAGGAAGACTTTCATGTTTCCCCAAATAGGATCCAGCAACCCTGAAACCCAGAAGACATCTTCCTTCAAATTACAGACATATAGGAATGTTCTGGCCTTCCTTTCTTAGGTATGCCAGACAGACTAGATTCCCAACTCTTGCTATAATGGAAAGCTATGAGAGTCTTAGGGGAAAATTACTTTGGGTCAGAGTCATTCTTATCTTTCCAACTGTTCCCAAATTCCATGTCATTCTGGGCTAATTCATCATTGGGCATCATTAGTTCATCCTCTTCCTCGCCATTGAAGTTTCCGCATATACCGCAGACCTTGGTGAACAGAGGGATTTTTCAGCACTGAGGGGGCACTGTAACTTTTTCTTTGCCACTCTAAATGGAAAGGACTCACTCCCAGTCTCCTTCCTCCTTTCTGGGGAGTGACCTCCGTAGTCTGGGGGGGGGGATGTCAAATTCCCCTCCTAGGCTACTTCCCCTTGAAAAGAGCCAGACTGTTGTCTTCACCTTTTGGTAATAGGCTCTAGGAATTTCGATCTCTAAGAGATGATTCCCATCAAACTTGACAAGCAGCCCGATGTAAGCACTGAGTACAGTATAGATGCCATTGGCAGTAATGGTGACCCGTCGGACCTGGTTCGCAGGAAGAGTGACCTGTTTGCCATTGATCTGTAGACGGAAGCTGGGTCTGTGACTCGGAAGGAGGACCAGAGGGGAGCCTTGCTCCCCAGAGCTCCTCTTCCCCACCCTGCCTGGTCACACGGCCAGCGCACCAGCACACGGTGGTCCCTTTGCAGGGTGATCTGGGCATCAAAGATAAAAATGTTGACTTGGTGGAGGTAGAAAGTTGGGGTCTGGCCACCCTGCTTCTCATTCTTGGCACTGATCTTGAAGAACGGCAGCTCCTTGGTGGGGTGGCACACTTGTACCAGCGTGTAAGTACAGGTTCCTCTGAAGGAATGGTAGCTGCCATCGAAGCTCACATAGTTGGGGTCACCTGAGACATGGCACACTCCCATACCTGTGAAGAGAGAGGAGGAGATGGCTGGGGGATGGGCGGGCTCTGAGATGAACAGGATCACTAGGGAGGCGGCTCTGAGGACCCCCTGACTTCATGAGAAGGATGGAGAGAGCCCAGGGAGTCTCAGAAGGGAAGGAAGACAAAGTTCAAGAAAAGAATCAAGGCTCAAGACCTAGGGGTGGATTCAGGTCTGGAGGTGGAGGGGGTGAGGCTGAGGCTGACTCTCAGGGAGAGAAGTGACAAGTAATCCTCAAGGGGGAGCCTCAAGGAGCACGTCTGAGCAATGGGAAGGTCACCCTCCCTTCCAGAAGCTCTTCAGTGAGTTAGGTACTACAGAGGACAGAAGAGGAGTATGTCTTGGTGATGATGGTGGGGTTCCTCAGCAATGCTCCTCAGTCTGCTGACCTGCAGCCCGGCAGCGGAGAAGCCCATCAAGAGGCCAGCACATCTGGGTGGGGCTGCAGCTCGTGTGGCTACAGGAGATATTGTTGTGGCTGGAACAGGTGCACAGCCTGGAGCAGGTGCCGTCTGCGTACCAGCGCTCCCCGACCTGGGGGACAGTGGGGTCAGCAGAACCAATAGCCACTTGGAAGCAGGAGGCAGACTGAGCCACACTCCCCAGGCCCTCTTGAGGCTCCCCTCACTTGGGGCTCTCCTCCACCTCACCCCCCCCCCCAAGTCTTTCCATCTCCAGACATGCTCCTCATTCTCCCCACACTGGCCTGCCTTATCCCTTCTCGGGCTCTAAATCCTGCTCTCTCGCCAGGCTCCCCCTGGCCCCAGACTATGAAGGTGAAAAGGAGGTGTGTGTATGGGGGGGTACTTGCAGCATCTGGTCTCTCACCGGGTGGTAGGAGCCCTGACTGTCAGTGCAGCCACACTGGCTGAGGGGTACACAGGAGGTCCCACTCAGAACATGTCCTTTCTGACACTCGCAGCCTTCAGCACAGGGCAGCATGGCCGGGCAGTCCCGAGGCATGTCTAGGCTGAGGCAGGTGACTGGGCAGGGGTTGGCACAGGGACTGTAGCTGCTGCCGGAAGGGCACTTCAGTGCTAAGAAGAGAGACAGCATCAGGAAGGCCTAAATGGCATCCCAGTTCCCTGGCCTTGGTTACAGGACTTCCCGGGAGTAGAAAGAGAGGAGAGGGAACAAAGGTGGCCCAGGGAAGCAGGCAGTAGCCCAATGGGGGGGAACTTTTGGAGATGACCAGATGGAGAAGGATCCATGGGCAAATAGAGGATGGTGGTCGGGGTTAGAAAAAGACTGCAGAGAGGAAAGGAAGGTCCCAGGTGGGCCCAGGGATCCAGGCTGCAAAGGGAAGAGCGGATGAGGCAGAATTTGGGAGACAGAACTCCTTTAGGCTTTGGTATAGGTGGTGGAGTCACTCACGGCAAAAGGAACTGTTTCGCCAGGCACAAGGCCGGCCAGCCTGGGCGCAGAGGGCCGCATAGGCCTGCAGGGAGCGGCATAAGGTCAGTTTGTCACCCTGGGTCCCACACTGCCCATACACACAACTGTTGAAGCTGGGGTGTGGAGACACCACCGTGTGGCACTGGGAAAAGGGCCCTGCAAGTGGAAACAACACAGATGTAAGAGAAGAGTGTGGACCAGGGAGAGGAAGAGACCCACACAACTTCTCTGGGGCTAGTTCAGCACCCATTTCAGCTGGTCTTTACTGAGGGCCTACCGCCTGTGACACACAGAAGGACTCATCAATCACAGTCCCCAACAAAGTGACTTCTGCCCATTCATCTTCTTCCTGTTCATGTCTCATGCCTCATACTCCTTCTAGGCGACCAGCCCCCCATCCTCTGTCTCCCATCTGGGGGAGGATAAAGGGGCAGGAGGAAGTGTGACTTACCATGAGGATTGGTTAAGATCTCACAGATCTTATTCCAGATGTCTGCCCCATCTTTCCCTGGGCAGCTGGGGGATTTGCCACCCGCAACAAAACAGCTGAATGAGGAGAGAAGAGAAGGACAGAAATCTAAGGTTGGAGAAACCTTCCAACAAACAGAGGCAAAACGGAGAGAAGAAGCCGGGAGTGGAGTGGGGGTAGGGCAAGAAACAAAATGGTATTCTCAAGTATAAAGACCAGAAAATGCAGCAGGAAAGGAAAAGGTTAGATCTGAGGATAGATTTCCCAAGCGGGTTCTCCAAAGAAACCAATTGTTTGGCGTGGAAGAAATCAACAGACATGTTCGTGGAAGGGTGCAATAACTTTTTGCCAGCTCCAATCTCGAGAGGTCAGGAGGAAGGCTGAGCACCCTCTCTGACTCCCCAGTTCCCTGCTCACCCAGGTTCAGAGGCAGAAGTTAACACCCAGGCCGCACCCAGCTGGACGGAGCTTTCTGCTGGCTTTTTGTCTGGTCGTAGATTGTCATCCAAGCTGTTGTTATTGAAGTTTCCTGAAGGAGGGAGGGAAACATCAGAACATCTGCCCATCCTGCTGGACAGAGCCTGGTACTGGTCTTCCTCACCCTTCCTGCAGCATGTGTGTGTTAGGTTAACCCATTCTCTTCATCTTCAGCCTCCCGTAAGACCCCAGACTCCTGCACAGTATCCACATCAGCCCCCAGTCTCTGAGCACTTAAGACACTTGATGTAGATATATAGGTCACTAGAATTAGGACCTGGCTTCTGCAAGGGGACTCACCACACAGCCCACAGAGCCGACCGGCCAAGGAGGAGGGCACGGTCACATCCACCAGGTGATTCCCATCATATCGAACCCGAAGCCCAAAGTCCGTTTGCACAAGGATAAAGGAGCCACTGAGCCCCACACTCATGCGGCCACCAGAAAGCCACAGAGGCAGGGCCACCCGGCGGTCATTCAACTGTGAAGCATGGAAAGCAAGGCCAGAGTGTCAGAAAGGAACTTGGGACGAGGACCACAACAAAGGTAAACGCATGAGCTCAGGAAGGAAGTGATGGGGTTTCACCACTGGAGGAGGAAGACCAGGAAAGAGGGGATTGGGTCTGCTGTGAGGACCCCCAAGCACTCTAAGGAGCAGAGAAGAGGTGCCTCTGGGAGGCGGGGAGGCACACACCATGACCTTGCGACCTTTGATCAGTGTGAGCCGGAGGTTGAAGACCTGCACGTGAACAGCCTTGACGTAGGAAAGCTCCATGTTCCCGCCTCGGTTCTCATTGGTACTGCTCACAATGAAGTAGCTCTCCCGGGACCCCATCCAGCAAGGCCGAGTCAGGATGTAGGTGCAGGTGCCCATGAAGTGGTGCAGGGCACCATCAAAAGTCAGGTAGTGGGGGTCACCTGAGACAGAGCAGGTGCCGGTACCTGGGGAGGGATTCAGAGACTCACTGTCCGTGAGGAACTTAAGAAAGCTCTGCCCCAGAGCTGCCATCTTGGGGAGTCCACAATGAGATACTACCCAAGGCATCATTCCTGTTTTTCTAAGATGAATGGTCTGCTTGGCTTGGAGATGACAAGCCTCACTATCTGGGTTCCTGAAGGCACTGCTCCAACTCTGAGGAGCAGATGATACCTTACTGCTCTGGGAAGGCTGTGCTAGGAAGGGCCCGTGTCCTAGCTCAAGGGCACATAGGCCCCCTTGGCCCCTATCACACCTTCCCCATTCCCTGCTCACCTTGGGCATGGCAGCCAAAGGTGCCATCCTGAAGAGTACAGACTTCCTGAGGCCCACACCTCCAGCGCACGCAGCGAATTTTGTTGTTGCCTTCACAGAAGCATCGCTGCTTACAGTCTGTTTTATACCAGCTCTCCCCTTCCTGAGGGAGGAGGGGAGGGGAAAGAGGTCATTCCTGGGCCTACTGCAACAGCCAAGGCCCACTCAGGTCACAGGCTGACTCTGAATCTTGCTAGGTGTTAAGGATTCAGTAAAGAACAAGATGGAGAAGGTGCCTGTCTTAAAAGAACTCACATCCTACCTGTTGTTTGGTGCCATTTTTGGCTGCTCACCTCTTTGTAGACCCCTACAGGTTGCTGGCACCCACACTTGTTTTTGGGGACACACTGGAGGCCGCTGAGGACAAATCCTGGATTACACTCACAGCCCTCCACACAGCGGTCTGGGCAGGACATGCCGGAGAATCCTGAATAGCAGGTATCAGGACATGATTTGGCACACAGGGAATACCTGCTGTTAGGTGGGCAGGTCAGAGCTGGTGGAAGGAAGGGGGAAGGACAGAGTGTGTTGAGACAGCCCACTGCTGCGGGTCCTCCCTGGCTGGGGGAGGAAGGAGCAGCCAGACCCTCACACTGTCCTTTGTCCCCTTATGTCATGCTCCCCAGTAGCTGTCATTTGCGGTTTCCTCTGTCCAGCAGGTCTCTTTCCACACACCTGTTTGTGACCACGTCTTAATAATTGGCTTTGCAATCAATGCTGTATAAGAGTCAACACACAGGTGGAGCCGGGGTTTAAAAAGTTCCCATATGGGACTGAGGCCCCAGTTTTATATACGTCTCTGTTCCCTAAAGGTGAGATAATGACTCTGGTTTATCCACCACCCCATCCTCAATCATAGGAATTTTCCACCTGCTTGGCTGTTCAGTCCTACACAGAGAGAAGGCTGAGGTCAGCTCCCGAGGCCTAGTAGGTCCTGCCACCAGGAACCTGACCAAGCTGTGTGGCCAAGAAGCCACCTCAGACCTCAGTGTGAGCAGACCAATCCAGAGTCTCACCATGCTGCTCTGGGGACCCAAACCCTAAGGAAATGGACCCATCCACAGCAAGTGTTGGGAGCAAGCAGAGAAACCTGTACAAGTTCACTTCACATGGCCTCTAGGAGCCCCGAAGGCTTCTGGAGGTTGTACAAGTGTCTTGGTGAATTTCTCCATGGTGTCCTGAAGTGAAAGCGAAGGGGTTCACCTGGGCAATCTCCAAGCTTGACCCAACACGCACGCACACGCACACATGCACGCACGCACACACGCTAAGACTCTGCTCGCGTCTGTGTCCGAGGGAACTGGTCTTGCAACCTCTCCTGTGTTCTTGACAAACTCACGGCAGAACTGAGGGTTTCTCCAAGGCTTCACCATGAGGCCAGCAGCCTGGCAGGCCTCCGTCAAGGCTGCCATCTGGGCACACAGCATCTGCTGCAGCCCCTGAAAGTTGCACATGTCAAACAAGCAGGTCTCATAGTAGAAAAAGGCCTTAAGATGTGGCAGGCAGGCCCTAAGGGAAGACGTAGAGTCAGTGGGAATGAGGGGCAGCCCCTCAGAAGATCCCAGGTCCCAGGCTGCCCTGCACAGCCCTTCCTGCCTCACTTCATACCCAAATGTTCCATTGGGGTCGATGAGCCGTCCACAGTACTCCGGCCCCAGCAGACTGTTATGCAAAGTGGAGTCACAAGATGGGGGACTTGCCTGGTTCTTTTGGCACCTAGAAGAGACCCACCCCAAATCCCCTAAGAACCAAGGTTTGCATCCAGCACTGGCCCCTCACCAGCTATCAATGAGGTGGCTTCCATCAACCCCTGCTGGAGAACATTTGACCACCAAACCCTACAGAAGGAAAAAAAGCTAGAGTCCTCAGAGACTAGGAAGTAGGATTCTGGGTTTCCCAGAAAGATTTAGACTTGAGTTAAATCAGTGGTAGAACCCCTGAGTCCACACCCAGCTGCTAACCAGGAAGTTGGAGGCTCGATTCACTCAGATGCACCTTGAAATGAAGGCTTGGAGATCTATCCCCCACCTACCCACCCGTCTGAAATCAGTGAGTGAAGACTCATGAACACAGCTCTACTCTGACACACATGGGATCAACATTATTTTCGAATCAACTCCATGGTAGCTGGTTGCTTTTGGTTTGTTTTGGTTTGGTTTTTAGAATCTGTGGTAGCATATTGGTAAGACGAGTCGGGCTGCTAATCTCACGGTCAGCAGTTTGAAACTACCAGCTGTTCCACAGGAGAAAGATGAGGCTTTCTGCTCCTGTAAAGATTTACAGCCTCGGAAACTGTGAGTGCAGGGTCACTATGAGTCGGAACTGACTCCATGGCACATAACCACCAGCATGGTGGGCATGAGAGGGGTGGTAATGAATTCCTGAGCTTGGCTGGGGGGCAGAACTGGGAGAACTATAAAAAGGGTGGGTGTTTGATTCTTAAAAGGGCAAAGGAACAAGAGGAAGAGGTGAGAGGGGTGTCCCCCTGGGCCACCCAGACAGAAGCCCTCACTCACTCTTTGTTCTCGTCCTCAGCTGTCTGCCAGCTGTTCCCCAGCTCCTCGTCATCCTGCGCTAGGCTGCCATCGGGCTTCTGGTTGTCATTGCTACTGTCACCATCATAGTTCCCACAGAAACCACAGAGTCGGCTGAAGTAGGTGCTACCATCCGGGGGAGGAGAGGTGTAGTGAGAAAAAGGGTCTAGTCTTTGAGGGTCCACCAACAAAGAACAGAGTGAGCTGGGGGAGCCAGGGAGCAGGATGAAAGCTTTGGAGCCTGCACAAGCATCCTGTGTCAGGTGCCCCGAAAACCTCTCCAAGACACGGTCACTATCTACCTCCCTGCTGCTCAAACCCCACCTTCCAGCCATCACAGGCCTCCTGCTGGCCCTCAAACAAGCTAGTCTCTTTTTCCATTTGACTTCACGGTTGTTGTAAAGGGTCCCCGTGCTTGGCCCTCTGGGAAGCAGCTCTTCCTTGAAGATTGGACCCTTCTGAACATCCATCAGTGCCTATCAGCAGCTCCTTCAAGCACATTTCCAGAGCATTGTGGCTACATCCTGGTATTATCACCCGGCCCTGAAATCATTTCCTCCTGCCTGCCCCGCCGAAAAGAGAGCACATCCCATCGGCCGCCCTCTCCCTGTGTTGAACTGGGAGGTTCATAAATGGCTGAACCTCCTCAGCAGGAGGAAGCAGAGGAGAAAGGGAAGGAACCGGGTGGGTCCTAGAAGGAAGAGGGGCAAGACAGGGAGAAGTGGCAGCTGCCTCGCTGGGTCACCCTCTCACCTGGTCACAGTCACATATAGCTGCTGGTCACCATCCCATCTCACCCGCAAGCCAAACGCTGTCTGCAACTCCACAAACCTCCCACTCTGGATCAAGAAGATGCCTTGAGAAGGCATGGCTGGGAGGGTGACTCGACGCCCCCCAATCTGGAAGGCAGGGAGAGGGAAGAGACACAGAAACAATGGGGTGTCAAGGAGAACCCTAAACAGATCCTCATGATTACAGCTGAGAGGCAACTGAACATCTCCCACTTCTTGTTGTGTGGAGTCGGTTCCGACTCACAGCGACCCTCTACAGGGTTTCTGAGGCTGTACATTTGTATTGGAGCAGAGAGCCTCATCTTTCTCCTGAAGAACAGCTGGTAGTTTCAAACTGCTGACCCTGAGATTAGCAGCCCAATTCATAGCCACTATGCTACCAGAGCTCCTTAGAGTGGTTTAAAACTCACAGAGGACTTTCACCATCGTTACTTTATTTTATTTAAGCTCATCCCTAAAAAAAGTTTGAGGAGTCCTGGTGTGGCACTGTAGTATCAGCAGTGGACTGCTAACCACAAGATCGGTGGTTCAAACCCATCAGCTGCTCCTCAGAAACCCTCTACAGGATTGCTATGAGTTGAAAAGACTTGATGGCACTTAACTAGAACCAGAAAGTTGGAGGGCTAGAAAAACTGGTAAGCACGAGGCCAGAGCAGCCAAGAGGCCCCGGCCCTGGGAGGGGCAGGTGGAGGATGGGACTCACCAGTGTGTGTCTGCCCTTGAGCAGGGTGATGGTGGTCTGGGGCAGGATCACATAGACTTTGCTCAAGCAGGTGACACCTTCCTGTCCTCGTTCCTCATTCTTTACTGCAACCCTGAAGTATGGGTCTGGGTAGGGAGAGAGATGAAGAAAGCCCAGGGGGTCAATGCAACAAGCATTTCGGGGTGCTTCCTCTGAGCCTGGCACTGAGGGAATGAGGGACCTGCTGCTCAATAGCGGAGCTTGATGTCTGCCCGGAAGCTGTCATTCGGGGACTGGGCCATCTGTACCTCTCTGATCTCTTGGACACTGGCCACCACAATACCAGACACATGGCACTTCCGCAACAAAAGTTGGAAGAGAAATAGATTCAACTGCATTCTCCCCTGCTGCTGGGGTGGACTTCCCAACCCTCACCTTCTAGAAGACCTTCATCCGTCTCTTTCCCAGGATCAGCTGTTCTGACCTCAGATGCTATGGCCTATGGCAGGCATCTCCCAGGCCTACCTGTTGAGTTGCTACAAGGATGGGTCATGATGTAGGTGCATTTGCCCATGAAGCTAAAGTGCCTCCCGTCAAAGGTGAGAAAATGAGGGTCTCCATAGGCCAAGCAGGTGGCAGTGCCTGCCAAGAGGAGAGAGGGGGACACACGGGGTTCACTCTATCAGCCCACCTCTCTCTCTCTCTCTCTTTCTCTCTCTCACAAACACACCCTCACCAGATCCCCGGGTCAAGGGAAGAGTTAGGACCTGGTGTTGCACCCCTGACAGGCTGGAAGGCAGGGACAGCAGGTGGGGAGGACCTCACCGTAGGGGCGGCATCCATACTGGCCGTTCTGCAGCTGACACACTTTGTGTGTTCCACACCGAGAGGTCTTGCACTCCAGTCCACTGTCGGGTGTGCAGCGGCAATGCTCTGTGCAGTTAGGGCTGAACCACTCCGCTCCAGGCTAGGAACAAGGAGCCTGAGTCACTCACCATAGCTCTTGGGACCCTTCCCCCTTCTTCTCTACCTGTGTCAGGAGCGATGCTACTCTCCCCAAGCACAGACCTCATATACTCTTCCCACCATCTGTCCACTAGACCCTTTTCCCACCACGGGACTTTAACACATGCAGAATACTCTTCCCTCTCCTCTTTCTAAATCCTCCCTTCACAACCAGGAGAGCTCACTCAAGGTGCACTTTCTTAATAAAACTTCCCAGACCTCCTTAACTAGGTTGTCCTAGCTCCGGCACCCTTCCTTCAGAGAACTCAGCATAGCTGCCCTTGGATGTTTACATTGGAGACTGTTTGAGTGTAGGCAACCCTGTACAAGGGGCCATGTCTGTCTCTGCCCATCATATTGGCCCTGGCCTGTAGCACAGGGTCTAGTAGAGTGCGCTCATTCAACAAATATTTGTTGAACGAAAGACCAGGCCAATACCCAACGTGTCCCTCAATCTGAGAGTCTCACAAAAGTACTCGTGATAACCTCAGTGCCAGGAGAACAGATGTTTGCTAAATTTTGTAAAATGCACAAATGAGGAAAGAGATGGCTGATATGGATGGTTGTGGTAACTGAATCTACCCATAATGCTTACATAGAAAGAACCAGGAAACGGATTCAAGTGGAATTGGGGCAGGAAGTGGCCTCAGAAAAGAGAAGCAACTCTGAATACCCAGAACTGGAGAAGAGGCATTGCATACTAATTAATGCTTAATTAATAGGTTGTATATGATACTTATCACAAGTAATAATAATTAACATGTATAAATAAGGGGTATGTGTCAGTATCTAATTTCATCCTAACAACAATCTTGTTGTTGTTAAGTGCC